CAGCCCACCACAATCCCCCCCACACACACCACACCCTACATACCCACAGCCCCCACAATCCTATACCCACCTACCCATACCCTCCATAATATACAAGAGTAAGACTTAATTTTAAGCTATTATACAATCACCTCTATGTACACTACACAAACGCATGTAAATCACGACAAAATATTTTTTGAAATCAAATTAATTAATGTTGTAGTAGATGTTTGATTTTTAGAATACAATTTGGTTTTTTTTTTGGTTCCAAGATGGCAAACCCCCACCTGAAAGGAGTATTTCTAGAGGGCAAGGGGAGAGTTTCTGGTGGCGAAGGTCAGAGATTTCTGGTGGCAAAGGTCTGGGGTTAGGGGGTAGGACTTCTGGTCCCAAGATGGCAACTGGGGGCGGGGCACCTGGCAGGGGGCGGGGCTACCCTTGTGGCCCTTGACAGCTTGCCAAAATTCAGTTAGCAGCCCTCCACCCAAAATAGTTGCCTGCTTCTATGCTATTTAGCTCTTCACTTGTGACTGGAATCAAGTGTTCTTGCCACGAGTCCTGGGACCCTCCAAAAATGTATATGCAGATAAGGTGTAAGACAGCCTGGCCCATCTCCACACCATAGAGGGCAGGGCCAGAGGCGACAGGCTGAGAGGGGGTAACCGTGCCTCTCAGCTACATAAAAATGAAGAAATGGAAATCACTGGAAACTGGGGGGAGAAAAAGGCACAGCTCAGTTGTGAGAGTGAAGAAGTTAAAATGTATTTGATGTAGTGGTTCACCATGACTTTAAAAAAGTTGGCACTGAGGGGGACAGAAGACAATGAGCACTATATCTTATTCAGATGGGCTGCACTAACCTAGCCTTGTGAAAGGAAACCCCCATTCAAGTGAAGTGTTTTATGGGCAAATTCAGCATGGGCTACATTTAACGAACCTGATAGCTCAATTCCACTACGGAGCACATCCTGCTTCTAGCAGCAATTTAATGGGGGAAGTTTGCTGGTATGCAAATACTAGCAAATTGCCCATCAAGAATGACGGGCAGGCAGGGACAGAGGACCAAGTCTAAGCCCACTCCCCCCACCACCCTGCCGGTTTGGGTCCAGGCTCGTTCCCCACACTCCGCAGGACTGAAGGAGCCACTGGGCTCCAACTGTCCCACAACCCAACCTAGCCAGGGCCCCAGTCACCATGAATGGGGCCCCGGCCAGGCTCACCCAGTGACGGGACTCACATGGCACTATGCCATGCCACTGTCAAGGCAACAGCAGCGAAGCATGGAGCAGAGGCTGAGCACAGCCCACAGCTGCAACCCACTCTTGGCCCCCTGGTCTATTCACGGGGCATGCCCCCCCTTGACTCCCCTATGCTGCGCCCCTGGATGAGCTACAGGGCTCCAATTGCCCCACAACCTGGCCCAGCCAAGCCAGAGCCCCATTCACGGTTACAGGGGCTCTGGCTGGGTCAGGTTGTGGGACAATCAGAGCCCAGCAGCTCATCCAGGGGTGCAGCGCAAGGGAGCCAAAGGGGGGGGGGGGGCCGGGCCCGGCCTCC